AGGAATCGATTTTTTTACTGAAAAATGTGCTAGAAGTACGCCCAAAAAAGTTATGAATCTTTAAAAAAGAAGAAGACGTGTAGGTGGCGCCCCCTACGAGTAAGAGCAATAAGAACATCAGGTTCGAATTCGACACCTCAAAAACCTCCTATTACCAAGTTTCGTTTAATTAAGTTCGGTATTTCAAAAGTTATTTGGAAAAAACGAAAATAAAAATAAAAATAAAACTTCAACATCCTGTATCTTGAAAACGAAGCGCTTCCGGACATTTATTTATTTGGACAATTCATATTAGAATATTGTGAGGAATCACCTCCTGAAGTTTTTCAACGTACTTTTGAATCACCCTGTATATGGATTTCTCAATTTGTCGACACTTACGAATGAGTCTCAATAAAGGCAAACAATTAGTAAACGAATCAATCACTATTGTAAAAGAATTTTCACAAGAAAAATAGATACGTGTTACTATGTTTCATTCATTCCCTTTAATGCCAACTGGATTTCCTCCAAAGATTTACCTTTCGTTTCGGGAACTAGAAATTCTGTCAAAATTGCCGACACAATATTGCAACACCCGAAAAGTAAGAAAGGGCCAAACAGTCCTGTATAGGAATTAAGGAAATAAAATATGTAATTCAATGTAATAACTGTAAGCCCGAAAACAATAGAAATAATACTCACGCCCTTAGATTTAATATTTGCAGAGAATAACTCCCCCAACATCAGTGTAGGAATAGTACCTATCCCAAAGGACGAGAATATTATGAAAATTATCAATCCCGCTAGAGGAAACCACGTAATCGATTCAATAATGAACGCTGGGTAATATTTGTCTATATAGAAAAATGTAGATTCAGATAAAAGTACCAACCCAGATAATGCCATAGAAATCATGTAAGATTTCTTTCGGCCGAATTTGTCACAAACATATGTGCCACCAGAATATATGATGAAGGTGAGTCCCATGTAAATCATTGACGACACTCCTGGCTCAATTTCCCCTCCTGCCTTGTCGAAAATAAACTGCATATATGATGCGAACACAAAAATTCCTGAGGTGACCTGAGAAAAACGAAGGAAAACTAACGCTACTAAGGCTCTTCTGTTACTTCTGACCATGACGAGATCTTTCCATGTTCCAGTTTCTGACATTTGTCGTTCCACTGCAGCCTTCAGTTGTAACAATTCTTTCTCAATATCGTCTATTCCTCTGAGTTTTTGCAAAGATTTCTCTGCTCTCTCGTCTTTCCCTGTCATTACGTAGAAGTACGGAGATTCCGGTATGAAAGTCAAAGCAACTACTAATATCACTGGCACTGTTAGACAAATGAAAGACGTCTCTTGGACATTGCAGTAAGAACCAATGGCGTTCATAAGGAATTGTCCGAGAAATATAGAACAAATCAAACCATTCCCCCATATTCCCCTTACTTTAGGTGTCGTGATTTCTCCAATATAAACAGGTAAAGAGGCAAATACCAACGCATCGCCCAATCCAGATGTAAATCTTGCTAAATAGAGTAGGTACAAATTGGTACAGAAGGCTATCAAAATCCAGGATATGATATGTGGAATTGCAGTTAACATTATAGTCGGTTTTCTCCCAATAACATCGGGAATATTGAAAATGGTTAAGAAGGGGGGGAATACAATCAGTCCTACAACGTTGAATATGGTGAAGTAAGATGCTTGGTCCTCACTAATGGCATAGTTCTCCTTGTCTTGGGTGATCTTCAGTATGAACGGCGAGGGCCATGCCAAGAACAATCCACTCGTTAAACTGGATAAACAAGCTGAAAGAAAATGAGTAATTAGAATGGTGCATAATAGAAATGTATACTGAACAACAAACAGAATGGTTTCCACTTACATGATACACAATTTTTTTAAAGTTCCCTACATATGGTATTCATTATGATTATGATTATTGTGGTATTTGGCTGTACGTGAATGGTATCAATATATGTATTTTCTTTCGGGCTATAAGTGTATATTGGGATAGCATTCTCATTGGTTCATATGTAGGATTGTATATGATTATTATGGTATTTGGCTATACTTGAATGGTTTTCTTTTAGCAAAACAATGGAGAATATAACTCGAAATGTAAATACCTAGTGTGTACGTTTAAATTTAAAACAAAACAAATATATTAATACTATCGAAGTAGCTGCTAATTACTATATATAAGATTATACTTTGTGAATGTAGATTAGGATTACCTATTTCAAATAAAGATTATTATATTATTACAGTTAAAATCGATGTAGAATATAACAATATAAAACAATAAATAATGAAATGACCGTTTGAGCATTCGAAGGAGTTGTCCCTCTGTAATAGAGGAAGGTTAACACTGTCAGTTTTAATCTTCCTTTTTGAAGATGATCACTTGATGATCGAAACACGTGTCGAGGTGTTAAAAATAACGATTTGGTGTTGGGAAAAAACTCCAGTAATACTCATTACTACACCAAAGGTTCCAAACAGTGCATCATGAGTACTGAATATATCCCTTTCACAGTTACTCACCATTTTGTTAACGGTTTCGAGACATTATTGAAGAGGCGACAAATTGTTTGAGATACGAAATAGATTGTCTTTTCTTCTCAGTCTTACGTCAGGTACAATAAAATCAATAGTAGAGAGAATTTCAGATACTTTTAGTTTTCTAAGAATGTTAAAAACAAAAATCACTTGAATTGAAGGTATTCTATTTTTTAGGAGTGACTAATTTTTGGGAAAGAAAGTTTTTGGCTTTCTACTACTCCATCTTGATACAAAAAAAAGAAGGATGAGGGAGTCTTCCAAAGAAAGGAAGTGTGTGTATTTTCTATAATGTTATCCAATTTGGTACTGAAGAGCCTAAGGGCAAGTGTCTTAAGACGAAACATCGATGTATACCAGTGAGGATGGCAGTGTTCTATGTAAGTGCAATTTGATACCATTCATTTAAAGTAAAACTCATGTGAATGATGTTTGAAGGTGATTGACAATGTTTCGTGATGAATTTCACTAGTTCGGACTTCCATTGTCTATTATATAAAATGATTTGAAATCCCTGAAACAAGTAAAAAAGAATTATTAAAAAAGAATAGTTGAAAATAACAATTATATTAAGCAACAATAAACCTGAAATGAAATGACAGTCATCACCCGAAGACGATTGTAGATACCAACAATCGAAACGTCGTGAACTAACGTGACTTGGAATCTCTACACTTTTTTATTTTTTTTTATTATTTTCTTTTTGTATTCCTTTAATTTTTATTTATTCAATTATTATATTTTTACTTGTAGGTTATTTTACTATCATTTCATTTCAGGTTTATTGTTGCTTAATATAATTGTTATTTTCAACTATTCTTTTTTAATTATTCTTTTTTACTTGTTTCAGGGATTTCAAATCATTTTATATAATAGACAATGGAAGTCCGAACTAGTGAAATTCATCATGTGAATGATATCTGATTTTTATTCCACAACGAATGTTTGAAATACAAACTGAGTAGAGAAAAGTATCTTCTGTATAATTCAGTGTTCATATAGAAGTATTTGTTTCGAAAGAATTTTTTCTTTCGTATAATTCAATGTTTATATGAAAGTAGCTGTTTCAGGAGGACTTTCTTTCAATTTGTGTCTGAAAGTTACTTCTTTGCATGATCTACACATCCATGAATAGAGTTACTTCCTTCCTTTCTTTGGAAGACTCCCTCATCCTTTTTTTTTGTATCAAGATGAAGTAGTAGAAAGCCAAAAACTTTCTTTCTCAAAAATTAATCACTCGTAAAAAATATAACCCCTTCAATTCAAATAAGATTCCTCTTGGCTGGGATTGAATCAAATAGGTGAATGAATGTCATTACGATGTCAGTGATGACATAAGCAGATCAAGCTTATTCCGTGACATTAAAAATTCGTAATTCATGAATGAAGTGTGTGTATTTTCTATAATGTTATCCAATTTGGTACTGAAGAGCCTTAGGGCAAGTGTCTTAAGGCGAAACATCGATGTATACCAGTGAGGATGAGTGTTCCATGTAAGTGCAATTTGTTACCATTCATTTAAAGTAGAACTCTTGTGAATGATATCCGATTTTCATTCCACAACGAATGTTTGAAATACAAACTGAGTAGAGAAAAGTATCTTCTGTATAATTCAGTGTTCATATAGAAGTATTTGTTTCGAAAGAATTTTTTCTTTCGTATAATTCAATGTTTATATGAAAGTAGCTAGTTATATAGTAGTAGTTATATTAAATTCTTGTAATTGGTTAGAATACGATATAAATAAACGCCAGAGATTGTGTTTTCTGAAAAAGAACGTTCTTAATAATCGTTTTTGGACTTTTCTATAGTATCAGAGTAACAAACAAGTATCGTGATTGAATTCACGACTAGATCCCAAAACAAAGCTCATTTTTCTATAACATTCAGATACTGAGTATTCGCTGTGCCGAGAGAAACTGAACACACCAGTTAAAATGATCCCAAGATTTTTCATCTCATTGATTCTCTGTAAATTGCTGTGATTTATGAAATAGTTCTTGATAGTGGGTGACTTCCTTCGTGTGAAACTCATTATTTTGCATTCAGCTTCGTTGAGAGATAGGTCAGATAATAAAAAGTAAGTAGATGGATTACTGAGACCATCTTGAAGCATATCAGAATCTTTTTTGCTTCCGATTCTTCTAAACAGCTTGAGTTCATCGGCATATGTGTCATGTAAAAATAAATCATAAGGATTTTAATTACGCAGAAAATGATTGAAGTCCTTGTCACAGGAGACTATATTGCTCAATATCTTTTTAGGCGCATCTGTATAGAATTTATTGAAAAGTTCAGCAAAACGTCTTTCGGATCGTCAACAATGGTGTTACTATCGTTTATAGTTATGACCACCAGGTGCTTCTTTCCAATTTTAAGAAAGCCTATGATAAAATTAGAACAGAACAGAAGTGTCACGAAAAAGGAGAAATGAAAATTTCAATGTTTATATACCACGTGTATTTGTTAGTATCGTTACTGCAGTTCCGTCCTATAAGTACATTTTCGGACGAATTCAATAAACTGTGCGAAATCATGCCTCCGCCACCGTATTCACCAGATTTGCCCCCCTGAGACTTTTTTATGTTCACAAGATTGAAAAGACCCATGAAAGGACGTCGTTTTGCGACGATTGAGGAGCACTTTGAAATTCAAAAAACTATGAAGCTGCTAAGGGCACCTATAAGATATTACTCAACCAGTCATTTTTTGTACTCACCTACCAGAACTGCTACAATTTGAGGCCAATTTTTCTCAGCCTTTCTAAGTTTGTCTTGATCAGCTAGTTCCTGACCTTTCATCTTGCATGTCACATCACAACAAAAATATCTCAAATCATCCAAACAACACTGATATATTCAATTTTCTTTATGATAGTTTCAATCATAAACCGTATTTAGAAGATAAGAAAGGAAGGTTTATGTGCGGAATCAAATACTATGCAAATGTTTGCAAAGCGTTGATAAAACCACAGTTTATTACTCCTCGACGAATTACGAGTATAAAAGACTAGCTTGATCTCATGAATACTCCTAAATAACATGATTACAGAGAACAAAATCTGGGTCGATATGCCGTGATTGGTCATTGAGACTTCAAAATGATAACTTCCTCCTCACAGTCAACGCATATACCACTGAAGATGTCTGGCTCCGGAGCATACGAAACGTTTAGTATAAGTTTCATTCGACCACTGCCTAACAGCCCCGATTTTGTTCTGTTCAAAAGTGAATCTGAACGTGAAAGTCTGTGTCCTTATAAACGTGTTTAGTATTTCAACTATGAATATGCTCATTTTTAATTTTATTCGATTTCAAAACTGAAATTGGAATGTAATCTGTAGAGTATTGGCGAAAAAATAATTCAAAAAAGTCTATGAAAGAATCTCATAGATTTGACACATTTCGAATAAACACAACAAAACATCAAACATGTTTTTACCAATTTTTTTGAACTATCCGTATCCTATCTATCTATCCCTACTATCCCTACTAATATTATGAATGCGAATGTAAGTTTGTTTGTTGGGGTTTCACGCGAAAACTACTCAACTCGATCATTATGAAATTTTGTACACATGTTCTTGGAGATAGTAGAAGTAACACAGGATACTTTTTATTGAAAAAAGAAATTTGTATGTAAGATAAAAAAATTGTTTGTCAAAAAAATCTCAAAATATAGCTACTTTATGTTAGTTTACGTTAGGTTATGTCAGGTTAGGTTAGGTAAGGATAGGTTAGGATAGGTCAGGTTAGGTTAGGTTATGTTAGGTTAGGTTAGGTAATAATTTTTAAAAATTGATTATTCCAGCCAAGCATTGAAATATAGTTCTCATATTGATTCATTTCTATGGTACTGACACTTATTTAATGGCATAAATGCGATCGAAGCCAGGGGTAAAAGCTTGTCATTATAATAATCGAATATTTAGAAGAATTCAAGATCACCAATTTTATTACAAAAGACCACCTTACAATCCTACATTCATTCAGATTTCATTTCCTCTAAACAAAAATTGAAAATAGAGTCAGTTACAATCCCAGTATAAATACAAATCATCAATAAAAACAATATCATTCCTTCGTTACTGCGATCCTCGCAATTTCTTAACCATCTAAACGTAGTTCACTAGATCAGTGATTCTGTAAGCATCAATCAAGTTGTTACCTATTTCATCATAACTATTATTTCTTAATTGAATACTGCCGCACTATGCTCGGCAAATCTGGAAATTGTGCGAAAATGTATTTACCGGTATTACAAATTATTGGGTGGATATGAAGTAACTGCATTTCACTACAGGATCGGTCTCTGCAAAAAAATGTGTTTTCAATACATTGGAGAAAATGAGTCTGTTCTGTATACCGTTTTTGTACTTTTGATTCCAAAATACTTTACTTGTTTTGAATGGATCGAAATGATATTCGTACGTATGATTTGTCAAAGTATAGTAGAGTAGAGTAGAACAGAGTAGAGTAGAGTAGAGTAGAGTAGAGTAGAGTAGAGTAGAGTAGAGTAGAGTAGAGTAGAGTAGAGTAGAATAGAATATAATAGAGTAGAGTAGAGCAGTTTAGGTTAGGTTAGGTTGGGTTAGGTTAGATCAGGTTAGGTTTGGTTAGAATAGAATATAAAAGAGTACAGTAGAGCAGTTTAGGTTAGGTTAGGTTGGGTAAGGTTAGGTTAGGTCAGGTTAGGTTAGGTTAAGTTATGTTAGGTTAGATTAAGTTAGGTTAGGTTTGGTTAGATTAAGGTCAAATTATGGAGGTGGCGGCTAAGAAAGCAGGAGAGCGAATTGGATCACTTCAAAGGGTCCTGCCCAACGTAGGAGGCTAGGGCTACCAAAAGCGTGTAGTCCTGAACAATGTAGTCCAGAGCATATATATGAACCGAGATTATGACACCAAGCTATGAGGAGCAACAAATACAGTGATATTATGGAAAGGTCACGAAGAAAAATGCTGCTCAGGATTGTCAGTGGGTACAGAATAGTATCCACGAAGGTGCTACAAGTGATGGTTGGCGTTCCACCTATGAGTCTTCTGGCGGAGGAAAGAGGAGTCATTGAGTACGCAACAGAAATAGATGTACTTACAAGGAAAAATGCACGCAGGAAGACGATAGAGAAGTGGCAAAAAAGGTGGAATGAAAATACTGACACGGGACAATGGACAAAGCTTCTAATACCAGATATCAGACCAAGGTATGAATGCAAACACAAAACTATCGACTGCTTCCTTACCCAAGCATTAACAGGACATGGCGCATTCGCTCCCTACACTACACGAATAGGGAAAACTGATACAGAGAACTGTCTTTACTGTAATGACATAGACACCGCAGAGCATACTATATTCATCTGCCCAAGGTGGACTACCCAGAGAATGAGGAGGTCACATTAAATATAGTAATAAGACCATACACCCTGGTAAAGAAAATGTTAAAAATTCGTAAGAAGTGGGAAGAAGGGGCGAAGATGATACGGGAAATAATGAAGACAAAAGACAGAGGCAAACAGAGGCAGACAGAGGCAAATAGAGTAGAAGGACAGTGCCCCCTACTACATATCGCTGAACCTCTTGATGAATGTCTGAAAAAGGCCTGCCAGGACGTAGGACGTTGTAACCTTGGCGATGTACAGGAGGTTTAAGTGAGGTGAAAGTCCCACAGTACCGCGTCGCGAACGATCCTAAGCGCACGGTGTGCATGAGCATTTCCTCCTGCCCAAAAATAAAGGTAAGGTAGACTAAAGTAGAGTAGGGTAGAATAGATTAAAGAAGAGCAGGTTACATTAGGTTAGATTAGGTCAGGTTAGGTCAGGTTAGGTTTCAGGTCAGGTTAGATTAAGTTAGGTTAGGTTTGGTTAGGTTAAGTTTGGTTAGGTTAGGTTAGGTGATAATTTAAAAAAAATTGATAATCCCAGTCTAGGATTAAAATATAGTTCTCATATTGATTCATTTCTATCATACTGACACTTATTTAATGGCATAAATACGAGCGAAGCCGCTGGTAAAAGCTAGTATTAATATAAATGCGAAAGTTTGTGAGGATAGATGTATGTATGTATGTTTGTGTCTCTTTCACGCCCATACGACTGAACGGATTCAGATGAAACTTCACATCAATACAGCTTATACATCTTATGCAGCCTTTACATCAGTCGGACTTCAGCTTTACATAGTGACTATCGTCAATGTAGGTATTGTCTCAATGTATCTTTATTATAACATTTTTATTTTTACATCTATTTTACATTTACTTTATTTTGTGCTTGTATCATACACAATTTTTATGTACCACCCAGTTTGGGTAGAGCCTAGATGATGACAGCACGACAAGCTACTGCTTTTCGGTAATTTTTATTGTAATTTACATTCATTTCATACATTATTGACTTGTTATAGCTTTGAGATGTAATAACTTTACCAATAAAAAATCTGATGTAATAACATATCAAAATATCTGTCAAATTCTCATAAAAATTGATATACTGTCGTTTATAAGTATTTAATATAGATAAACTTTGTCTTTCGAACTAAATAATTTGGACGAATCGTTTAAAAGTTATCATGACCCAAGGCAGAAAGCTATTACCCGTCGCGTTTACTGTAAGACAACGGTGGATGATGCGCGGGGGTAGATGGACTGTGTGTCACACTCGACTCTACTCGATAAACTTCCATACTATGGAATTAGGGGGAAAATAGCAGCTTTGATCGATTCTTACCTATCCGAACGAAAGCAGGTTGTAGAACGAAGTAGTGTGAGATCTCCAGTAGTGAGTGTAACAGCAGGTGTGCCTCAAGGGACCCCTACTATTCCTAAAATATATTAATGATCTTCCACGCCATATGAACCCCCTCAACACGATTCAGTATGCTGATGATACTACTATTTATAAGAGTCACCCTGAACATGAATATCCAGCGCAACTAATTAATTTTTTGCAGCTATTAAGTTATGCTTGAATGTCAAATTGATTGATTGATTGATAAACAATGAAGCGACATCGCCGAGAACGCGACCCGAACGCGGGCAGACGCGTGAGGGCAGACGGCGTCGACGGTTGTGTTAGTTTTGCGAATTTCTTTATAGGTAATTTAATTCCACTTCCGAAGCTATTCATTACTTAGTGCAGTTGGCATATTTTTCTAGTTACTGTTTTTTTAAAGTTAAAATATAAATTACTATCTGTTGCTCGCTCTTATATTAACGTACTGCTGAAGCTACTAAACCGAGAATCTTCAAATATGCAGGTAGGTTCTTTGTAAAGCGTAAATGAGCATCGAGAAAGAAAATCAGGAATTTCCACCCCCAAGGGGAAAAATAGCGTTCAAATATTGTATTGAATTTCGTCAGTTCTGAAGTTGGAAACCTAAAGTTTTGGGTTGATAAAAAAAATTGTAACTATTTATTTAAAAAATGGTCTGTCACGAAACTTAATGTGACAAACCAAATTCTACGCGGGCAACAACACTGAGGAATGTCTAGACCTCTCACCTACGATTCATCTTACTCAGTAGCCAGCATTAACGAAACCATCTCTATCTAATGATTATTACATCTATAACAATACATCTTTGATAATTATATAGTTTTCATGGGTCATTATCGAAACGAGAATCTCTCTTCTTTTGAAGTACTCCGAATTGATTATAGGTGTCCATATTAACAACTTGATTCTCAAGAGTAGTTTCTAACAATTATTTCTGAAAAATCTATTAGTCATTCCTAGTTTGATATGGAAAGTAAAATAACCTTGAAAGATGATAATAGATGTGTTGTTGGGAGAAAGAAAGGGTCAAATTTACCAGAAACGTTTTCAATTGTGTTCTTCATTTCGGCTTGTTTTCCAATTACTTGTACTAGGTTGTTTCAAAAATTTTGTCCGTTTCATTGTCATGTGTTTCTGTAGCTCCGTATCTCACTAAAAATGTATTTCACTGTGTAGTGAAATACACCATATCATGATGGCATATAACGGGTGATTTTTCAAGAGGTATAGGATATGATTTTCAAAACAACATGAAAAGATTGAAAAGATTGATGAAATCTTCATTGGAATCGATAAAACGATCAATAAAATTTAATGTTTGAAGATGATATCATGCAAATGTTGTTCAAGGCTCCGCTTTAGATGGCTCATGCGCAAGGTCCAGTTTTGGCACACTCTCTCTAACATATCGATCGGTATTTCACGTATGAATGCTTCAATCTTGGCTTTCAGAGCGTCAGTCGTTGCTGGTTTATCCTTTTAGACATGAGCCTTAACATGAACCCACAAGAAATAATCCAAAGGTGTTAAATCACACGATCTAGGCGGCCAATTGTCGGGCGCCAAACGTGAGATAAACTGTTCACCAGAAATGAGCCTTGTCGCTGAACACAATTTTTCGATAAAAATGTGGATCTTCCTGTTAGACTTTGTAGGAGGTCGTGTAGCTTCAATTCTTGCACCACCTCTATCTTATAAGGTTTTACACCCAAATCCTTTCGCAAAATTTTCCACGTGTGGAGTAACAGAGGCCAAATTACTGCGAACGGCGACGAATCGACATTTCACGGTCATCACGAACACTGGCGGATATAGCCGCAATATTTTCTTCGGTCCTCACTCTACGTATGCGTGTTGGTGGTTTAATGTCCAATAATGTAAACTGAGTTCAATTTTGTCACAAGCTTCCGAATAGCTTCCTCAGTAGGCCGACGAAACTGCCCATAAATTGGAAGAAGTGCACAATGCACTTTTTCCACCGAGCATGAATTTTGATAATAAAATTCAATGATTTGCAAGCGTTGTTCATTCGTAAGTCGATTCATGGTTGCCAAAACAGTGTTGCCAAAAACATACCAGCACAAAAATCACTCATTATATGATATTTCATTAGACGCTTCCTATTTTTTAATTTATATACAACAAAGTGTGAGTGCGATGTCGATATTTTTAAATCGTTTAAAAGACCTACCGGTTGAATATGAACGAATAAAGAAAAGCGCAGGACCACTTATACCATAAAATTCCAGTTTTTCCAGGAATAGGTCCTGAGAGACACAATCAAAAACTTGCATGAGGGGCCACAAAATTAAAGCAGTATGTTTACATTCTTCGAGTTCATTTATGATCGCAACAGCTTGACAGAAAACCGCTTTAGCGTTTATGAAGAAGATTGAATTTTTCGAAATAGGCACTTAAACGGTTTTTTAGAATTAATACGAGAATTTTTGCCAAGGAAATGGGTCTGTAATTTTGAGGGACCGTAATATCATCTTTTTTGTTTGATTGATGACCTATTTATTCTGTTGACATTTATATTAAACATAGGATGAAAAAAATGACTTTTATCTGATTTCTACTACTAGGCTAAACCATTCTCAAGTGAACACTTGAAAACTTTGGAACAAATAGAAAACTTTGTAGAAATCAGACAAACGTAGTTTTCTCTTTCCTGTAAAAATCTTTTTTTCATTTATGAAAATCATTAAAGGAATTCGGAATAAATTGATGGATGTAGCCGTTAGTTACTACGTGGTAGGAAATCATAATGAAGAAAAAAGATTTGAAAATTTGTTTTTTACCACTTGAAAGTGTCCTTATAGGATAAAACTGCAGTAATGTTAGTTACGAATAAAAGTGGTGAAAAACATAGAAAGTTTTAATTCTCTTTTCTTCATTAGGATTCAGAATAATTGCTGTTGTTTTGTAAGAATGTATCATCTTTCCCATACCAACCGATTTCCTGGAGTCTTTGAAGTCCACTAGATACTCGTTATTACAACAAGAGGGTTGTTTCGAATTCTTGGGATTCTTGTTGAATACTCTTCGTGAGCAAAAAAAAAATAGCAGAATCAATACTCCTGACCGCTCTGGATTGAATTAGTCCATACAGATATCTTTTGTTGAAAAAATCTTCATTTGTTTACTTTGTGGTGAAAACCCTCAAAAATTTGACATATACTAAAAAGAATTAAAAAGAATTTTACACATTGAATAGCAATTCCTATACCATTTGTATATTGTTTTTTTTTTGTTTCCTCAGAGTTTGAAAAAAAATGATTATTTTATTTTTTTCTCTTTCTCACTAATCGTATTACCATGAATTATTATAATATTATCATATTTTTTTATTATTTTATAAAATGTACTTACTGAGCTCTTATCATGGTGAGTAACAGATCACAATACAGGCATTTCAATGTCTAGGTGAAAATTACTCATTCAAGATAATTGAAATTTATTAATTATGTATGTCATACAACAAAATGTATATTAACATGGAAAAAAATAAATAACATGGAATGTTCAAGGTGAACTAGCATTTCCTAATATGACTGATAACTAGTCCGTGCAAAGCTTATTGTTAAATCATGTAAAAATGGAACTTTTAACAGGTGATGATCTACTATATTGCCAAACATGCGCCAAACTAACTGACTATTATAAGACAACAAGTATAGATGAGGCACCAGTCAATCTAATAATAACAATGATGATTTTTTTGGGAAAGAAAGTTTTTGGCTTTCTACTACTCCATCTGATACAAAAAATGGATGAGAGAATCTTCCAAAGAAAGGAAGGAAAGTATTCAATTTGAAAATAAGTAACTCTATACGTGGATGTGTAGATCATGCAAAGAAGTAACTTTCAGACACAAACTGAAAGAAAGTCCTCCTGAAACAGCTACTTTCATATAAACATTGAATTACACGAAAGAAAAAAAAATCTTTCGAAACAAATACTTCTATATGAACACTGAATTATACAGAAGATACTTTTCTCTATTCAGTTTGTATATCGAACATTTGTTGAGGAATAAGAATCAGATCATTCACATGAGTTCTACTTTGAATGAATGGTAATAAATTGTACTCACATGGAACACTGTCACCCTAACTGGTATACATACATCCACGTATAGAGTTACTTATTTTCAAATTGAATACTTTCCTTCCTTTCTTTGGAAGATTCTCTCATCCATTTTTTTGTATCAGATGGAGTAGTAGAAAGCCAAATACTTTCTTTCCCAAAAATTATTCACTCCTAAAAATATAACCCTTTCAAATCAAACAATGATGATCTTCAACTATGACTCAACCTCTGACTGAAGCACCAAACTCTTGCAAAGGTTCGAAATAGATGAACACTTCAATCTAGCAGACCACTATTATAATCTTCACGCAGTCATTGTTCACTGTGGTCCTGGCGTTGAATCCTGTCATTATTACGCCTTGGTCAGAAACGAAACGGACTGATTTAAGTTCGACGATAGTCGTGTCACTAAGTGTTCTGGCGGTGTTTTGAATTTATTGAAGCCTCTGGAGACACCCTACTTTATGCTGTATGAAAGAGAGAACATTGGCAGATCAAGATCTTCAGATGATGTTATGTTGCAGGTTTTTCCAGGTTTTTCTACAGCTGAAAAAGCAAATGGGCCAGTGGAATCAATGGAGTCGAAGTCGCCCCGGAGCACATTTTTTTTTTATTTCACTTGTTGAACAGTATGAAAGCATTACAATGAACATCTACATACACTAACAAGGAAGACGTCTATTTATAACTAAAAACAAAACAACAGAACATGACAGATACTAAACTGGGCATATAAAGGTAATTAACAATTTTTTTATCGAGAGTATCTAATACAACTCGTCAACAGTGTAGCAGTTTCTTTCAATGAGATAATTTTTCAATTTCAATATACAGATATGCATTGAGTTCCCAATAGAAACATCTAGCTTGTTATATAGTTTGGGTCCAAGGTATGGGTGACTCTTCTGTTCGGTGGGGATTCGCTATCAGCAACCTTCTAGCTCTAGTTGCGTATGGGTCGTCTTGTTGGTTTGCGCTAAATGTTTCTCTATTCTTATAAAGTAGAGACACATCTCATATATATACAGATCAGCAACTGTGAGTATTTCCAGCTCTTTGAATGAGTTTCCGCATAAGTGTCGCCTAGCAATTATTCTGACCGCACACTTTTGTAAAATAAATACTCTTTCAGCAGAGGAGCTCATACCCCAATTCAAGATCTCATAGCGCAAATGACAGACAATAGTTGCATAATACAGATTTAGGAGAACCTCTCTTCCACAATGATCCGACATAAATCTCAGTGCATAACAGTTTTTTCGTAGTTTATCACATAGTGATAGAATTAGACCTAGCATTTTTGTTTCTGGGTTGAATGTCACGACTAGTTGGTTATCTTCATATATTTTCAGAGTTTTGGTGGTGTTCTATACTGAGAATTTTAATAATACTGTAATTTTTATTGTTGTTTCTTAATATGATTTGTTTTACCTACTTTATATCACTTTCCTCTTTGATATACTCTAGTGTATTCCAAGAAATCCTTATAAGCATAAGAGCTATTTGAACGCACCAACGGAAGTATAGCACTCACTCTTAACTCCAGACTCCATTATAGGCTCCAGAAAAACGAGTTGCCTTGAACTGGCAGTACACCATTTCATTTTGTTTTGTCATTGTCAATATGTTTTTAATCAAAACACCCTAAATTCATGTCTGCGGCACAGGCACTACTTTTTCTTTAACAATAGCGTATGAATGTCCCTTTTAATAAAGTAAAAGTTTGGTACCGTTCCCAACAACTTTCGTGGTTTATTCGCTTCTTATTTAAAAAAAAAACTAGCACCGAATAATGGCCAAGTGTTAGATGAAGCATCTCTCCTCTACCTGTCGGTTCTTCTGACGCTACCTCGTTGCTAACCGAAGACATCAATACAAACTATGCGACTCGTCTTTATAAACCATAAAATCTTTGATGATGCCCTTATATAAATCACAATAAACACTCCGGCCACGGCTTTTGATGCAGTTTCGTGTAAACACAGGCAGAAGAGTTCACGCTCGCGCGTCTCTACTCTATCTTCTTCTGTCTTCCTCGGCCTCCCATGATCGTCGGGCCACCTCTAGAGAAGCAACCTGTTGGTGACGTCACTTTATGCAACCGGCCACTTGATCCATCCGGAGTGGAAAAAGAACTCAGAATATCGCAGAACGCGGCCGAGCTAGAACGTGGTTACCCGGAATCGGACTACGAAAACTCGCGGCCGTATTTATAAACAAATCGATGTGAGGTGAAGTGGCGGCAGTGTTTTGTTGTGGTGATTATCATGGATGCACAGATTAGGATCAGCTGATTTTTGGATTTTCGAGTAGGATGGACGAGGTACGTTATTGAGATTGAGATGTCATCTGTCGAGTTCTTTCCACGGGTTCCCTTGATGGTATCACCCGCGTGTCTACATCATTAAAATTAATTTCAGCTCAGCTCCTTGGTTGATCATGAGGGTTAGATGGGGAATTTATCAATTGTGAATGCGCCGGTTGGATGCCTTAATTAGGAGCTGAAACTAACTAAATTATGTTGTTTGTGGCCCGAGATCATTTTTATGCAGACTACCGGATTTCTTGCATTGACCTTAAGTGGAAGTTCGGTGAACGTGTTTTGTTTTGATAATAATTTGCGGACCACCGGAATGCATACTTTTTTAAGGCGAACAATTGAACTATGAGATTGATCGAAGATGATTTGGTTATGAAGTTCAGAAATTATAACTGGGCGATCGCAAAGAGTGGAATTGAGAATGAAATAAGCATTCAATTGTCATTGAAGAAATGAACTTTAGGTTGTTAACTGTTCTGACTTAATTAAAATTTTAGAAAAGGTTAGGTTAGGTTACAAACTTCATAACTTCAAACTTCATAACTGATGCCAAGTACAAAGTATTTGCATTGCAAAGAAACCATATTCTCCAAATGAAGATCTGAAACTCTTATCATGATAATGTGGAATGGTTTATTTTTATTGGAATACTGTACAGTATATCAGATTATTTAAGCTGCCTGTTCAAAAAATCAGTTGAATTTTCATTTTTTCTCAAAAAATATTCATTCATTCATCAATTTCTATTTTGTCCTCTTCAAAGCAGTCCCCCTCAAATATAATACACTCTGCCAGTGTTTTTTCCAATCCTCCAAGCAGTTTTGATATGCACTTTTTGGTATTTCCTTGACCTCTGTACGATTCAGTTTTATTTCCCAGCGTCGCAAAACGCCGTCCTTTCATGGGTCTCTTCAATCTTGAGAACAGGAAAAAGTCGCAGGGGGGCAAATCTGGTTAATAGGATGGTTGAAGCATGATTACGGTGTTTTTGGACAAAAAATTACGAACAATCAGTGATGCAAAAGCCACGAATTGTTTTTCGACAATAGCGGACGATTTCTTCATATTGCTTCTCGCGAGCAAAGAAGAACAACAATATAATATTCCTTATTGGCCGTACGACCATGTTGCAAGAACTCCTGATGCATTACACCACGGTAATCGAAGAAAACAGTGAGCAAAATACAAGATCCTTATTGATCAAAATTGGGTACAAAATTGTACATATCGCAAGTCATAATTTTTACAGTAAACATTATACCAACAATATATCATGATATGTTTTTTATTGATGCAACTAATTTTCCTTTATTTTGAGTATTTCAATATTAAATTCTACAAAAAGGATTTGAATTTTAGAAAATATATAAAATCTACTCGAAACATTCTCAAATAACCTCAAAAATGAAATTAGTCTCACCCAATAAAATGATTTTTGTCTTACCGTGAACAATTTTAAATGAAAACATCAGCTGGTAAATTACAGCTCAAAGTAAAACTGAATTGAGATGAAATAACTAAGTATGGGGCTAAGTATTCATTGGTTCCAGAAATACCAATTTCTCCATGGTTTAATATTCTACATAATAGCTTTGTTCTCCAAGCAATCAAATTCGATTTTTCGGTTCAACGTTTCACAGTGCCTGTGAATTGAGTCAATAAATGCATTTTAACCGCAGTTCAGAGGGAGACGAATACCTTGACTTTGTTTCAAATTCGAATTTAATTCACTGTATTTCAAGTTTTCGGATAAAATAGTTTCATTCTCATTCTAGAAACAGCCCGCCCCGGGAAAAGATATATTTTTTTATGGATGCGGCTGCCGCCACACTTGGAATATTCAAAATTCCGTCATAATGCGAATCTCAACATAAAAAGAACTTACATACGAAATTTCAGTCTCAGAAAATATAGTGATACCAAGAAACAGTGATGAAAAGGTAATTGTCATATGTAAACGATTCCCTTTTACCCCCCACGGGAAAAGCCCGAGTAGGAATATTCGAAAATCCTTTCCTAGTGCGCATCTAAGACCTAAGAAGTGATTATATACCAAATTTCAGCTTCCTAGGACTTACCATTACAGAGAAACAGTGATGAAAAGGTAATCGTGATATGTAAACGATTCCCTTTTACCCCCACGGGGAAAGCTCCAGTAGGAATATTCGAAAATCCTTCCTTGTGTGCGCATCTAAGACCTAGGAAGCAATTATATACCAAATTTCAGCTTCCTAGGCTTTACCAGTACAGACAAACAGTGATGAAAAGGTAATTGTCTTATGTAAACGATTCCCTTTTACCCCCACGGGAAAAGCCCCAGTAGGAATATTCGAAAATCCTTTATTTTTGCGCATCTAAGACCTATGAAGCAACTATATGCCAAATTTCAGTTTCCTATGACTTACCATCACAGATAAACAGTGATGAAAAAGTAATTGTCATATGTAAACGATTCCCTTTTACCCCCACGGGGGAAGCCCCAGTAGGAATATTCGAAAATCCTTTCTTAGTGCGCATGTAAGACTTAAGAAGCACCTATAGACCAAATTTTAGCTTCCTAGGACTCACTTGTAAGGAGAAACAGAGATGAATGTGTGAGTGTTAAGTGAGTGACTTCTGCATTCATAGATTTTCTGCAGTATAGATTTTCACTACACAGTTTTACAAAAATCTAACACGTATTTCGGTAAACAATAACATCATTATTTGTTTTTTGCTAATAAATGGACTATGTGTTGTGTGAAAATCATTTTAATTTTGTTAGGTACACGAAAAAAGAAAAATTCAAATTTGTCCCAAAATGATTGGGGATGATAAAAATAGTTTTAATTTTGAAGAAAAGTGGTGCACAGGTTATATTTTCGTGTAATTTTTTGTACGAACGCCTCTGGTTGAAACCTCAAAAAATATTCCACAGGGCGTGTGCTGAATTCCATAATCATATCTAGGAAGTTTAAAAATATTTATGTTTAAAATATGTTTTTTCGTTAACAAGCTGTCGCACCCCTACTAACGACAACTCTCAGAAGTAGTAATTTGTGCGAGCAAAGGACTAGCAAGGTCTTACCTCTTAACGTGTGATTCCTAACACGGGTTGGACGATAGCAAGTGAAAATCGATCGTTTAGCCTGCGGCTTGAACCACCGACTCACACATCGGTCGATTGATAGAGTGAATAAAGTATTCACTTCGAACCGCCCGGCTACCGAACTACTATTGGAGTTATGATGATTTTTTTTAAGATTTCAACACCCCGTAAGTCTAAAGTTAAGACAATTATGACAGGTTTATTTGAATGGTTCTTCTTTATCTAAGGATAGCCTCAAGAATCAGCATCTTATTCAGAAATCCTCTATGTACTAAAATGCGGATAGCAACTTATTACGCCCAGGGCCCTGGGAAAGATACAATCTATTAGAGTATATCCGCTTTCCATAACAAAAAAGTTGTACGAGCTCGATAGTATTTACAAGTTTGCTTGCGTGTGTGAGGAGAAGATTATATTATTATTTGTAATAACATGCTGGTAACCTTTTTAATGAGGAACATTAGCTTGGATACTGTAGAGTAGAGGAATATTACACGTACGAAAGATTATGCCTTTCACAAGGTCTTTCATCACCCTGTAGGCAAATCATCTACATTGGATTAACTGTTAAATCATATCAAACATCAAGCTGGTCATTTCTGTTTTGGAAAACATGATAGACTGACATCATCAAAATGTGTCTTTTAGTACGTTATTTCTGTGGCGTTTCAACCAGTGGCGTCCGTACAAAAATTAACACTAGATAGTTTTCGAATATATTGCCTGTGCTACAAATTTTCTTCAAAACCAAAACTATTTTCCCAGTTATTTTAGGACAAATTTCATTTTTTTGTTTTTTCATGTAACAAAATTATAACGATTTCTACACAAATAAATAAGTATATAAGTAAAAAACAATAAATTTGAACATTCACTATATTTTTTCAACAGTCCATTCGTTATCTCTGAATTCGAACATGAGTTTAAGGTTATCTGCAATACAAGGTACATTTATTAGATATTTTGACAGTTTTGACTGCTGAATATTTATCAAACAATTCAAAAACTAACTTTCCGAATGTGACAGCTTTTTCGTCAATGTTATTTCATCTATAAATAGGTTTTAAATCAGCATTATTCAAGGTAGAATAAAATGATTCGGATTGAATCTTCTGAATGAATGAAACTATTATTTGCGATATATGCCCTGCATGATACAAAAAAGTTATCCGAGAACAAGCTACAAGCAACAGCCGCCTATTGTCAATAATGCAGAAAATTTTTTGCCAAAAAAATTATCCTATCAAATTTGTCTATTTCTAGTCATGTGTGTCGAAATAACCAATGAAACCATCATTACACTGATAACTACCCATGGATAGTTTTCACGGGTAGTCATCACTTATGTCATGACATTGCTAAGCAACCAACACAATAAAGTTGTTTGACATTTCAGTAATTCAATTTATTTCGAAAATATCACTTCCTCGAACCAAATAACGTGCTTTCGAAAACTGTGATAAAATTATTTCGTTAATTATCAATGTCCTTGGGATATTATAGCTGATAATATTATAACATCTATAGTTTTGCAACTAGTTGAAGAAAAGCGTATTTCTCTCAGTTGAATGCAAGAACAACTTGTAGACTTTGGTAAATCCATATTTTGAAATCTCCAGCATCACATTTCCAATTTTGGACATAATGGGAATACACTGTCTCTAGAAGCAGTTAAAAACTTGGGAGAGGAGCATTAGAAAGTCTGTACATAGAGGCTCTGATATTTTTCATTCTCTTGTTGATTTCAACTTTAGAGACACCGGTAGACAGCTGTTTCAGCCTGTTGGGCATCGTCAGTACCGGGAAGGCGGTCCTCTTTTGAAGACAAACTGTGAATAACCAAGGTTTTTCCAGCGCAAATGCGCCACTGGAATCAATAAAGTCGCTTACGGCCGATAAGAATTTTTCGATTGTA